ATTTATAAACAGATTTTACTATCTCCTTTTACTTGTGTTGCTGATTTAAGCACAGGCCAGTGGCATTGATTTACTATTTACTTTAGTGCCTGCTAAGCCTCCTAAAAGCAGCGTAATTGCAGGATGATTGATAATTGCATTACAGGTTGCTGAGGCATTTTCTGAATACAGAGTTTCATAGGGGTTTTACAGGAGCTGCCCCTGCTCCTTGGGACCCGGCGCCTGCAGGAGCAGGGATTCTGGTTTGAGACATTGGGAATATGACACGTCTGCACGTCAAAACATTCACGCAACTGAGTGCACAAACGTATTTTTTTCATGCAGTTCTGTGTCTTACTCTGCAAAAATGACAGTCTTTTTTTTTCTCACTCATCTTTTTCTTTCTCAGATCCGAAACGTTGAAACCAACCAGTGCTTAGACAACATGGGCCGCAAGGAGAATGAAAAAGTGGGCATGTTCAATTGCCATGGCATGGGAGGAAATCAGGTAAAAACCCAGACCGTTCACTGTCTGTGTGATAACCGCGTTAGTCTTCAGTCCCCTCCTGCCTAACTGGCCACACCAGTCCCTGGGATTGGTATGCTCGTTTCTCCTGGAAGCATTGCTTCCTTCCCACAACGGAGACACCGTGATTTTCCAAGCATAGGGTTTTTTTTTTTTAGTGGAAATAGGTGAGAATCCAGAGGAGTTATAGTGGAATCCATTCATTTCTAAAATGTGTATATGAAAAAGAAAAAAAAAATGTGCAAGATGAGGATTTGGCTATGCGTTGCTCACATGAGTTTTCTCAAACCTAATGAAGACTCAAATAATTGAATTGTGGGGTATTTCCTCTGTTTTTTAGGTATGTTCTGATGGGAAGTAAAATGGTAAAAGTAAAATTCTTTTAGCTCGTTATTGTACGGCTAGTGATTTGTTTTCTCTGCAAAGATCTGTAAACTTCACATTTTCTAATACCTCCTATTCAAACGAACACAGCTGGTGTGTGTTGGGATTAGTTCTTGTTTGCAATATCGAGCTCTAATTAGGGAACTTTTACACAGCTGTGGCATGTCACCATTGGATCTGATAGCAAACCCCTTCCCCTTTCCTTTCACAGGTAAGGTTTCCACCATATTTACCCCAAACAATGCTCTCTCTTTCCTTAAATTTCACTTACGAGATCAGTCTGCTAGCATTTTAATAAAACTTCATGTATTTCTGGGTGAGGGTTCTGGTATATGCTGGCTGTTTGGCATGTTTTCTCTCCTTCTCTATACATGAGAGTGAGACCCCTCGATTTGCTGAAAAAAGAGCAGGAAAGGTGGCGGTACAGACGGACAAGCCGCGAGCACGTACGGACGGTGCATCCTGGAGAAAATCTGACCTCCCTCCCTCCCTAAACCCATGGGACACGAATCCGTGAAGACCTTCTGCCTTCGCAGGCTCCTTCGTGCTGCTGATATCCATGAGAAAGCCTGGGGAGATGCTCTGTGCACAGCTGCAGAGAGGGCAGAGCCGTCCCCTGCGCCGCGGGAGCAGGAGCTGGGCCCTGCTGGGGCTCTGCTGCGGTGCCCGTCCTGCACCGTGCACAGCTCCCGTGAACTCGCACCCTTATCCAGCTCCCTTAGCAGGAGAAGTTAGAACTATGAAGTGTAAACTCTAGGGGTGGGGGGCTCTTCACAAAAATAGCTACGGAACGTATCTGTTTCAGAATGGAAAGGAAGCAGCAATAATATGTGGCTCGTTGGAGTCCCTGGCTAAATGCACGCCAGCTCTCCTGCTGGAGGCAAAAGACAGTATCTCAGGACAAAACCGTGTTAAAAATATTCTGTAGCCATCAACTGCTTCGAAGGGCGTAAGGATAAGATTCCAAGAACGCAAATATCTTCTAAAACCTCAGGGAAAATGAGGTGCCGCAACTGCTGCGTTGGCTCGGAGGGTGCAGGGCCTGAGCCGTGGATCCATTCCTGGGGCTGGGCCTGCGGACACGCGTTACCCTTGGTTGGGAGCTGAGCACGAGGCCGTGATGGGGTTGTCCTCGTGGTGACGGGAGCGTCGCGGATCAGCCCGACCGGAGCTCGCGGAGCCGGGCAGGGGGGAAGCGGCCTGTCCTCCCTGCGCGCGGCCCTGCCGTGTTGCCATGGAGATGCCAGCGGAGCCGCCATCCCGCGCGCCGGGATTAACGCGACGGGCGCGGGACGGGGCGCCCGGCCCCTGCGCTCGCGGGGCTGGAGGTGGAGCAGCCCGCAGGAACTGCAGCGCTTGGCGTCGTTTGTCCGCTCGTTAGTGCTGGATTCCCTTTTGTCAGACCGACAGCTCTAACGTACTAGGTCTGGCAATAAACCTGCCTTTCCCCTGCTGCTCTGCACGCACAGCCTCGGCGGTTACATCCCCTTGCTTACTGAATAAGAGACCTCCTGCAGGAGGTTTGGGTATTTTAGAGCTGCCGCAATGCATTCACTACAGAGGCCTGAGATGGGAAGGGAAAGGAAGCTGCTTCAGCCCGAAGCCTTGTCCCAGAGTCCTGGAGCAGCTGGACTGGAGACATCTCTGGAGACGTTCGGTCCAACCCTCTGCTCCAGCAGGTCACCTGGAGCAGCTTGTCCAGGACCGTGTCCAGTTCAGCTGTGAACATCCCCAAAGACGGAGCCTCCACGACGGCTCTGGACCACCTGCTCTTAATAAATAGTAATTAATAATCTACTCTCAATACTCTTCAAATAAAACGAAATCACCCACTGTTGCAGTACCAGTTCTTACCCGGTTCGATGCAAGCAAGCGCTCGCACATGAGGAGCTGGTGCCCTCCATCTCGGGTCTGAGGTTCTGCAGGGAAGAAACATCGTTGGACAGGGCCCGCGGGGAGGTGCGGTTCCAGCAGAAGGTTTTCCAGGGTTTTTCAGGATTAATTTTTAATGAACATGAGGTTGTATCAGCAGGATTTTCCACAGTCTTAGTTCACCTTGTGGCATCTGTTGCAGGGTGACAACAGCACAAACACATGTTTTATAGATTTTAGTAAATGTTTCTTCCTTCGGGTAGTGTTTTGTGAGGAGGCTCAGCTCGGAGCTCGCCGATGCTCGCACGAACACTGGCTGCTTTTGCAGGTCAGTTCTGAGCACAGCGCTGGGCCGTGGGCTGAGGCACTCAGCTAAATAGTTCAGTTATGGATACATTATTAAGCCATCTAGGTCACTGATGGGTTATTAACTTGTAAGTCATCTAAAGGACACAAGATTTAGTAGAACAACATTCAGTTTAGTGGTAATTGGACATTTAAGTGCAAGCTGAGTTTTCGCGCTCCTGACGAAGGTTGTGTCGGAGGAGAGGAGTGACCAGCGCCAGGGCCCTGGTCTGCAGCCACTTCCCCGGCCTCTCCGGGAGAAGCGAACGCTGCACCCCTCACAGCAGTTATTAATCTAGGGTAGTTTGGGTTTATTCACTGTAACACCATAAGTAAATCCTAGATTTTGTGATTCCTGGAAGGTTCCTGGCCCTTTTCTACTTTGCCTTATTCCATTTTGCTTTCTTCAGTCTCCTGTTTCCCTTAGCCTTTGTATTTAGCTTTGCATTTTCCAAGCAAACTCTTTGTGAATAAAATTAGTTAGAGTTTATATTTTGTTAGCCCTTTTTGCTGATATATGATTTCCCTTGCGGACTTTACATCATTCTTATGCATTGCAATTACAAACCTTTGGGGGCAGGAACTGGCTCATTTTTTGTTTGATTTGTTCAGGACCCAGCACAACGGAGCCCTTGGTGATCTTTAAGTGCAATTATAATAAGTTTGATTAATAGGGAACAGAGGAGCAATGCCTGCGAGTTAAATAGCAAAATCTTCCATTTATCACAACGCGAGTGAGAATGATGTTTTCTTTTAGAGCCCAGGTAAAAGCGAGGCGGTTGGGCCTTGCCTGGGTGGAAATAGCTGCCAGGGGATGTGGGAGAAGCAGCATTCGATGGATCACGTTGTGCTAACGAAGTCTAGGTAGCAAAAATGCTCCTGTAAATGCGTCCCGGGGCCGCTTCCGAGCGGGATTCTTTACTTCTATTTCCTTTCATTCTGTTGTCATGACGCTGACCACTTAGTGCAGTTCTAGCTGCTAACCTCGAGGTGCTTCATGCTCAGATACTCTGATGAGCTGGAGGATTACTGTTTAAGTTTAAACAGCTTACTAGCAGTAGTAATAGTTTAGGAATAGTTTAAATAGGAACCCCCAAGCCTGTCTTGTGCAGTCCGTGCTGGCGTTTTCTGCATGCCTATCCCGGACTTGTTCCTGCACTCAAATCCTTAAGTAAATGTCTGGACTTGATAATTAAATGTGAGTTTGGAAAGGAATAGGCAAAATGTATCCAGAAGTGACTTAACTGGAAATTTAACAGTAGGATTCCTGATTTTTTTTCTTAATAGTAGTGCGATGGCTGCAATTTGCATGTTTTGCCTAAGGTGGCTTTCAGCATTAGCGCGTAAACAGTTTCAGGAGGAAAGGAAAACTGCCTTCTTGCAGCTCTCATTAGAATATTTTGAATCAATTCTGAGGTGGATTCAGCATTTACCTTGGGAGGCCCGTGGATAATTAAAAAGGTTGTCAGGATAAATTAGATTTTCCCGTCCTTGGCTCTGCCCCGCTGATGACCATCCTCGTCGCGTTACGTGCTCCTGCCCTGGTTGCACAGATGGGCCTGCAGGTTCAGTTCCACGTAACGAGCTATAAAATAGCTGCTCATGAACAGCATTCCCGGGGGATGCAGCGCGCTGTTTCCCGTCCTCTGCTTTCATGAGGACGTTAATACGTGTTTTTATGAAGACATTAATACAATTATATTTCTAATTAATATGGATGTAAGAAAAAGGCTAGCCTGGTAATTTTACATATTCTTAATTAGCATTCATTTTTCCTTCTTAAGATGCGTCTTTTTCAAGCCCATCGTCTGTTAATTCAGACATCACTTGTTCTTTCAAGAGATGCAATGGAAGAGTGCACTGCAATTAGCAGGGGCAAGGGCAGAAGCGAAAGTTGCAAATGGAAGTTAACCTCAAAGCACAGGAAGAAGAAATCTGCTGCCTCTTTGAGGCTGGAAGGAGATGCCTGATGCTTACATGTTTATCATGCAAAAACACAAATAATAAGTTACAAATTACAGTTATAAGTTGGTTCAAGATAAGTGATAATGGATGAAATTTTAGGTAATGAGCACAACGAAGGATAGAATATCTGCATAATATGTGCATAGAAGTATATGGGTGATTCTTGCACTAGACAACCAAGGAATGTTTCTGGCTATGAGTGAAATAGATGTTTGCATCACTGCAGCTGCTGTGGTGAAATGCTGTTTGTGGGGTGCATTGCTCCCCCGTCGCTTGCTTTATTTTCTGACGTTACTAAGACACTCCTGAAATACCCAGGAAGAGAGGTCTCTACCCAGATCTCTAGCAGGGAGAATCCTTGGTGCAAGAAATGAAGCAGATACTGGTAAGAATATTTCTTCTAAGAACTTCCAGGTGCTTCAAATAATTGAGTTAGTTTATCAGTCTATTAAAAAACCTGTGAAATGATTCCTGAAGATATTGATCGCAGTTATATTAGTGCACAGAGCTCTGGGATGAGACCTCTGCTGCTCTCCTTGCCCCTTGCTGCAGGGATAGGATGAAGGGCCTGTCCCGCCAGGGCCGTCACTTCCACTTCTTCCCCAAGTGCTCCGCTGCGCCGGACCTTGGGAAGCTCCATTGGAATCTGGGAGAGCGCCGCAGTGTTTGAGCAGGAGCATCTCTGTGCGCCACTGGAGGGAAATCTGTACTCCACACCAGCAGGA